GTGTTAAGGAAGATCTGATTCTGGACTTCAGTGGTGAGCATGGAACTAGCCAGCATGGGCTGGCAGATTCGGATGGAGTTGGACATCATTCATTTGTTAGAGACAATGACAGGGATAAATGTTATAGCCAACAGTGTACCATCACCATGGAAACGTGGCAGATCATCAGTAACCTCTCAGTCCTCTTGACATCAGCACACATTTGTCTTTTCCCCCTCGTAAATGTTATTACAACATGTTCATGTGGACTAGTTTTCCTTTGGTGAGTAGCTTGTGTGTCATCTTTGTGCTGACACGTTTCTGTCACAGAAACAAAAACTCGAGAGAGGAGAGAGAAGAGAGAAAGGGAGGGGAGGGGAGGGGAGGGGGGGAGGAGAGGGAAAGAGACCATGTTTTATCCAATGACAGCAAGAAACAGACTTCTGGGAGAGTATTGACTGTGGTCTTTTCATTCTTTCTGTTGAGCCAACTTAGATCACACCTCCCGTGAGCCAGGAAACCTCACCCTTTCCTGTTCTTGTGGACACTCTATCCTTATTACTGAAGCCCAATTACAACATGCCCTCATTGGGCGTTCTTCCAGGTCAGAAAAGCTTTTAATATTTGTTGGTCTCTGATGCCAGCAAGTGCTTCTGCACCTGGGCATGTTTGAGTTCAGTGCTTTGTTACACACATTCTCAACATAGACACACTTCTAGGAGTACCTGCAGATCTATGTTGAGTCTTTATAGTCACAACACACACACACACACACACACACACACACACACACACACACACACCCTTACACACAGTCACGTCCACATCTTGATAAAAATATTAGGATCTTTGGAGAAAGCAACCTTAATTATTTTGTTCATTTGCACTTAAAATTGGGCTTTTCTCGCTGATAGGTTAGCCACCTCTCATCTCTAGCTACTTTAACTGCCGTCGCTTGGTCTTGAAAATCATCAAGTAAGATTAACAGCTAACTACAATTCCTTAATTAGTAAAAGTCATGGTTTCATTTAACAACACAAATTCAAGAAACCTTTGGTTTCCTCATTCATCCTGCAAGGTCGGCCTCAGAGCTTCTCCTTCAATCATCCAGTAAGAACATCAAACCCTTTAACTGTGACCTTTATTTCAGGACTCCTCTGATTACCCTTTGCCACAGTTTCTCCACAGCAATGTCACACAGTCTACCAGCATTACCAGGGTCTTACCACCGGGGTCTCGCTCTCACCAGGATCTTGCCCCAGTCTCCCTCAAGTCTTGCTTCTCAGTGTGAGAAGCATTCTCTCTCTCATCCTTCTCCAACAGCTGGACTGCTGGACTAAACCTGGACTTGCATTGTGAGATTATTTTTTGCCTCTCCTATTACCCAATCTATTTAATAAATGCCACTCTTGGTACTATAACTGTAGGTAAAGTCTGTGAGTCAACAATGAATATTGAACCCAGTGTTTGGTGGAAATAGGTGTGGGAGCATGGGGGTGTGTTGTGTCAGGTTTCTGTTTGTGGTAACGGACATAATTGATGGGGAAAGTTCCCCATTATGAAATGGGCAGAAGTCAGCTACATCGCTTCATTTGCATCATTCACATTTATTTTGAGTCTATCTTTTTGTGCATATGTAACTTACCAAATTATTTGACTTTTGGTTTCTAACGTATCTCACAAGAATATAATGATAGGATCGAATTGGGTTGTTGGTCTTTTTGTTGTGTTGTTGTTTTCAATATATTTTACATTTTTATCCTTTCTCCATACCTATTCAATCTATATACTGAGCAAATAATCTGAGAAGCCAGACCCTATGAAGAAGAATGTGGCATCAGAATGGGAGGAAGACTAATCAACAACCTACATTTTACAGATAACACAAGCTTGAGCGTGGAAAGTGAGGAGGACTTGACACTTGTTGCAGAAGATCAGACTATGGTGTTCATTATGGATTAAATGTTAACATTAAGAAGACAAATCCTCACCACTGGACCAATAGGCAACATCATTACAGATGGAGAAAAGATTGAAATTGTCAGTGATTTAATCTTGTATTCGCAATCAGTATTCTTGGTACCAACAGTTAAGAAATTAAAAGACGGGAGGAAATTGTGCATCAATGAATGAATATTAAAAAAAAAGAAAGTGAACTGGGGGTGGTGGGAAAATGTGCAACAATGAATGAATGAAAACCGAACTCTTCTCTAAACTTGTTAAAATTATGAGAATTATGAGTAAATTATTACAATTATGAGAAAGTCTATTGTCAGGGACCTTCCAAAGTACTGAGGAGCAATGATTTCAGTTTAAAGACCAAGGTGTACCTGATTCAGGTTATGTTCCTTTCAGTCACTTGCTATGTATCTGAGAGGTGGCAATTAATAAGGATGACAGAAGAATCAATACTTTTGACTTGTGGTGTACTGAATATCCCATGGATTGCCACAGGAACAAACAGACATGACTTGAAGAAGGTTCAGCCAGTGTGCTCCTTAGAGGCAAAATGGTGGTTTAATTTCACATACTTTGGTCATGTTGTTAGGAAAGGCTATTCCTTTGAAAGGGGAATCACACTTGGAAAGGTAGAGGGTCAGTGAAAGAGAAGAAGACCCTCAAGGAGATGGATTTTTAATGAGTAACGACTCAGCAATCCACTTAAGTGTGTCAGAGATGATGAGGCTGGCACAGAACAGGACAGGACTCAGGTCTCTTGGTCATGGAGTTGCTATGAGTCGTACTTGACCTAAAGACACCAACAGCAACAACAACCTTATCAAATACATTGTTTCTGAGGATTTTTCACCTCCAACTTATAGGTTATTTTTTTACCTTTTTTGTTAAAGTCTTCCTTTGAGCATAAGTATTTTGTTTTTATGAGATTCCAGTGATCTAATTTGCCTTCTGCTATTCATGCATTTGTAGTTATGTTAGCCCATTTAAGGGAAAAAAAGTCTCATAGTTTCTTTCCTGTTTGACCCTGGTTTTGTGTCCCTGGCTCCCCTATCCATGAACTGGACTCCAGGTCCCCAGACTGACCCAGACATTGCTGCTAGTTCACCTTTGTGAGGCACACAGCCCACTGTTGCTGACTCTGTGGTTTTGCAGCCTGGGTCTGGGCCCTCCACATTGTCCCCAACCAGCTCCCAGCTGCCTCAGCTGCTCACTGATGCCTTACAGCTAGCAGCCTGGAATGTGGGATTGAGCAGGGCAGGCGTTTGTGTGGCTGTAGATGGCCAGCCCTCACTGTGTCTCACGTCCAGTTGTGAAAGGAGCAGGTGAATGGGAGGGTGGCTGAATCTGACTTCTACTTGCTTCATAAAGGGAAACTTTTCCATCAACAATATCCACAGTGCCATACAAATAACTACATGGTCAGAAATACCAGCCCCCATCCTTCTGCACCTTTTTCTACCAATCATTATGTTCTTTGCAAGACTCACAGACTTGACTCACAGTTCTGGGATTTATTACGGTTAGTCTGGAGAGGGGGAGAGACAAAGAATATTACACAATCCAAGTCCAGGTTTAGTCCAACATTCCCAAGCCAGATTAACAGCAAGACACAATTCCTCAATTAGTCAAAGGACTTCTCAGTCAGCTAGTGAAAGTCCAGGTTCAGTTCAGCAGTGCAAATTCAAGAAGCCTCTGGTTTCCGCAATCTTTATCTTAGATAACTTTATCTTAGAGATACAAATGCTTTTCCTTTAATCATCCAGCAAGCAAAACCTTTAACTGGGACCTTTATCTCCAGGGTTTATCTCTGGTTTACACCTTGCCACACTTTCTTCTCACTCCCTCCATCACTGTCACTGCAGTGGCCCCTGGTGACCTGTTCCCATGCCAGGATTCCCCTCTCTGCTCTCATCCAGGACCACTGTCCAGGCTGCTGCCTTTGCCTGGTGCCGTCTACCTGGCACCCTCTGTCTGCTGCCCTCTGCCTGTCTGTGCTGTGCCATCTTTCTGTTGCCCTTCAGCCCACTGCCTGCAGCCCTCTGCCTGGCACCTGCCACCCACTGCCTGTCTTCCCAGTGCCCTCAGCTCACTGCCTGTCTGCCCAGCACCCTCTATCTGCTGCCCTCTGCCCACTGCCTGGCATCCTCTATCTGCTGCCCTCTGCTCTCTATCTGGCGCCTGTACCTACTGCCCACTGCCTTCTGCCCACCACCTATATGTCTTGTGCCCTCTGCCTGGCATCCTCCCACTGCCTTCTGCCTGGTATCCTCTACCTACTAATTGTCCTGCACTCCTTGTCTTGCATCCTTTTCCTACTGCCTGTTTGCTCAGTACCCACTACCCTTTTGCCCTTTGTCCACTGTCCTCTGCCTGCTTCCTCTGCCCACTGTCCACTCCCTGCTGCCCGATGCCATCTGTCTGCTGCCCAACAGCCTCTGTCCAGGGCCCTTTTCCCTGGCTGATGGGCAAGCTGATAGTTCCTGCAGGTTTGCATTTCATGTCACTGTCATCCCAGCACCTCCCTCTCTTACTCATCCCTGAGTCTGTGTTTGTGAATTCACTACTCACTAGAATTCCCATGGGGTTGGAAAGTCAGCACGGAGGTGAATTCACAGCCGTGTCCAGAGCAGGGACAACTAAGATGCTGCCACATGCTCAGGCCTGTCAGGGTAACCCCATTGTTTGGAGCATTATAGAGCATTACTGTCATGAAGAGTTGAGTGGACAGTGATGAAAACTGGACACGTTTATCATGTTCCAGGTCAACAGTGGAGACGGTGTTAGCACCCCCCTTCCCATCATAGACATGGATCCCAAGACTCAGCAGTGGGGGAGCCCTCAGTACTTGGGGGCTGCCTGCTTGACTGAGATTCTGGCACCCGTGAGCTTTGTCACACTGCACCTGCCCTGGTGTGAAGTGGAACTCGTGCACCTGTGGGATGTGCTGCATTGGGCCTGCCCAGGTGTAAGGTGGGACTCTGGCACCTGTGAGCTTTGTCACACTGCACCTGGCCAGGTGTGAGGAGGGCATGGCCATACTTACACTCTCTCTCTTGCCCTAGACTTTGACCCTCAACACTTCTGGTGCTGGAGCAGCTTCTCGGACTACGTGCAGTGTGTGCTGGCCTTCTCGGGTGTGGCGGCCTATATCACTTACCTGTGCATCGACTCAGTCCTCTTCGTGGAGACTTTGGGCTTCTTAGCCATGTTCACCGAGGCTATGCTAGGTGTGCCGCAGCTGTACCGTAACCACCGCCACCGGTCCACGGAGGGCATGAGGTAGGACATACAGCAGTGGGCACCTCCCACTTGTTCTCAAGCCTGCTGTGGCATCCATGTGGCATCCACCTCTGGCCCCTGGCCTGGGAGTGGACACGGTGGGACAGTGTCGACCGCTAGCCAGGCCTGCACATTTGCAGGTGGTGCCCACCAGACCTTTGAGCAGCTGCTTAGGTGGTGATGGGAAGGCTGTAGAGTGGAAAGGGAGAGGGTGACCAGCCTATGCTCACCATATTCCAGGTGCGAGGGAGTGCTGGGGGTGGGGAGGGCTCAGGGATGCCATCCTTGTCTGTAGTGCGTGTAACTGCAGAAGTGATGGGCCCAGGCCAATTCCGAGGCTGGGCATCCTTGTGCGCTGGAGCTGGGTGAGCTCGAGTCCTGCTTGGGCCTCATCCTTCCCCTGTGGACATGATGATCCCCTCAATAGGAGCCAACCTGGCCATATGCCTTCTGATATCTCGGCCCCAGGAAGCCACTTGCTCATGTACTGCAAGCTAAGTCATGAGCCATGACACCTGGATAGCTTCTCCATGAGGGGGTTCTCTGCACCCCATGTCAGACCTTGGGCTGGAGTGCAGGTGGGCATTTTTAGGTCTCTTAGTAGGAGATGGATTGATTCGGTGACTGGAATAATAGGGATGAGTGTGTTTGAGACAATGAGATTGGCACAGGACAGAACAGAGTTTAGGGCTGTTGTACATAGGGTCGTTATGAGTCGCAAGTGACTCAACGGCACCTAACAACAACAACAGTTGGCTTGAAGGTAGCTGGGCTGCAGCAGTCTCTGTCTGTCACACTTGATAACCCTGATCGCACTGTTCAGAGTCTTGCGGGTGTTCCCCATCCCTACATGAGCCCTTGCAGCTCATCTGTGTCCCCGAGCCTAGTATGGCCTTGGGCAAATTGCATGGGTTCAGCAAATGCTTATCAAATGATCGAAGCCAAGAGGAGAATGTGCTTTGCTCAGTCCAGTTGGGGCTGCCAATATCAGCAGCTGGCCAGTCTAATTCAGGCCAGGCTGGGGATTGACTAGCAGCCTCAACTCTGCCTTAAGTAGAAATTCAGTGTGATGTTTTAAGATGACATCAGGGACCAGCATTGCTGGAATGTGGAGAGCCTGTGTGAATGCTCTGTCATGTAGATGGTACCTTTCCTGGCTCAGGGTGGACCTCCTTCTGCAAAGTCCCGCTTCATGGGTTTGTGCAAAGGATGTGCACATACATGTGCAAGGAGCAAATGGACTGGAAGTGACCCATATTTATTCCCCCCTCAAAAAAAGATGATCTAACAGAGTGTGGAGATTATTGATTAGTATCACATGCAAGCAAATTCTTGCTGAAGATTATTAAAGTCTGGAACAATACATTGACAGAAAACTACCAGAAATAGAAGCCAGGTTTAGAAGAGGCTCTGACTCTAGGGACATCATAGCCAATGCCACATGAATCTTGGCTGAAAGCAGAGTACCTGAGGAATGTCTGTGTTTCGTTGACTTTGCAAAGGCAATTTGCTGCATGGATCACAACAAATTGTGGCTAACCTTTAGAAGAATGAGAATCCCAGAACACTTGATTATGCTCGTGTGGAACCTATACTTAGACCAGGAAGCTGTCATCAAAACAGCAAAGAAACACTGTATGGTTGAAAATTAGGAAAGGAGTGCATCAGATGCGCCCTGTCTCCACACCTTTTCATTCTTTATGTGGATAGATTATTCAGGAGGCTGGACTTTGAGGAGGAACATCCTCTGTTATGCAGATGACACAACCTTGTTTGCTGAAACTGAGAAGGACCTGAAATGTCTGCTGTGGGGAAGGTCAGGACTACAATCTTTAGTATGGATTGAACTTCAATATCAAGAAAACAAAGATTTTCATAACTGGGCCAGTTGGCAGCACCATGATAGATGGAGAAGAGATTGAGGTTATTAACAATTTTAGCTTGCCTGGTTCCACAGTCAACAATCTTGGCACCAGCAGTCAGGAAATCAAATGACAAATTGCATTAGGAAAATGTCAGGAACCTCTCCAGAGTGCTGAAGAGCAATAATGTCAGTTTAGAGACTGAGTTGTGCCTAATCCTGGCCATGGTTTTCATAGTTACTTGCTATACATCAGAGAGCTGGGTAATGAGTAAGAATGACAAAAGAAGAATTGATGTCTTTGAGTTGTAGTGCTGGAGAAGAGTACTGAATATACCATGGACTGCTAAGAGAACAAACAGGTCTGTCCTGGAGAAAGTGAAGCCAAGTTTCTCTTTGGAGGCAAGAATTTTGAAGTTCCTTCTCTCATATTTTGGGCATGTTGCAAAGAAGGACTAGTCCTAGGAGAAGGACCTCATGCTTAAAAATGTGGAGGGACAGTGCAGGAGAGGAAGACCCTGGATGAGATAGATTGATGAAGTGACTGGGTCAGTGAGGGTAGGTGTGTCAGAGACAGTGAGATTGGCTCAGGATAGGGCAGAGTTAAGAGCTCTTATGCATAAGGTTGCTTATGAATTGCAGATGACTCTAACAACAGGTCACATGTATGTGGATGCAGGTACACACTCAGGTACATGTGTGGACACAGCACATCTGTGTAAAAAAAAAAGCACGTAGCACACTTGTCTGCATTAACACTCTTGGAACAGGGATTTTCTTGTAATTCATATAGATATTTTAAAATGATTTCTTTTGAAATATATTAAGTGGCTCTGCCTTCTGTGTGGCAATAAAAAAGAATAACAAAGCTTCTGAAAAACTCTTTTGAAAGAACTAATTAATGCAGCAAGATCTAAAAGGCAATTTTTCCAAGGATATTTGCATTCTTCTTCCTCCAGTTGTCACTAGACTGAAAGACTGTTTCCCAACAAGTAATTATTAGAGAATTAAATCAAAGGATGGGGTGTACAAGGTAAGAGGACGCCAGCCACTTCAACAACCACCTACAGAATCAAGCATCATCACAGTCTGGGGAGGGTAGACACAGGGAAGCCACTAGGATCAGGAGAACCTCGAGTCTTGGACCCTCAGAAAGGCTGTTGTCTCAGTGAGAGGAAGGAAGAGAGATTAGGGCTTGACACATGCCGCTCTCCCCTCAGGGTCTGCAGCTTTGTCCTCTTTTAGGTCCTCTGTGGGGTGCCGTCAGGAAGAGAGCCACTTTCATCCCACACCCTACCCACTCTGAATTTTGCCCCATGCTTTCAAGATTAAGCCAGAGCTCAGGAAACATCTGCACCTATGATCACAATTTTGTATTTTATGGTTGACTTTTGTTACCTGTGGAAAATATGAATGTGACTCTGTCTTAGGCTGGGTTTATTATAAAAGCAAAAGTAATGAAGCCTCATATATATATGATTTTTTTATAGGTATGTACCATTGAATCGCCAGTGACTCATAGTGATCCAATGTACAACAGCCCTAAAACCTGCTCTATCCTGTGCCAGTCTTAATTGTCTCTGACACACCTGTCCCCATTCCCCCAGTCAATGAATCAGTCCATCTCATTGAGGGTCTTCCTCTTCTGTGCTGTCCCTCCATCCTCCCAAGCATGACTGATCCCACCTTGCAACATGTCCAAAGTATGTCAGAGGAAGTGTTAGAATCCTTTTCTCCAAAGAGCAGCCTGGATTCACCCTCTCTAGGACTAACTTGTTTATTCTCCTAGCAGTCTGTGGGATAGTCAATACTCTTCTCAAGCACCACAGCTCAGAGGCATCAATCCTTATGTCTGTATGTGCTGTTGAGTCAGAGCTGATGCATAGGTGACCCTCCAATGAGTTTTCAGAGGCAGCAAATCATATGGAAGGAGATTGTCCATCCTTCTTCCCCAGAGCAGCTGGTGGATTTGAGCCCACATGCCTTTATATATCTATATAGGTTTATGTTGCTCTTTAGTCCATAGGGAGTTGTGGCGCTAACTCAAAGGCTGTACCTCTCTCTGAGTTCGAATCCACCAGCTGCTCCACAGGAGAAGATGGGAAGCCTCCTCTCATGCACTTTACAGTCTTGGAAACTGGCTGGAGTGTCAGCTAGTCAGTTGGGGTGTGTTTATAAACACACATGCACATGGACATATACAGTGTGTATATATAAACATGTACACATGCATGCAGGCGTATGTATGTGTGTGTAGCTCTGGTGGTCTAGTGGATAAAGAATTGTGCTCCCAACTGTAAGGCAGGTGGTTCTAATTCACCAGCTGCTCTGTGAAGGAAAGATAGACCAGCTGCTCCCATGCAATTTATAGCCTCTGACCTGCTGGAGAGTCCGTTATTAACAAATTCTGAGTGGAAGGCACATACAACAGTAGCTTATGTCTGTTTGTGTGTGAATAAGTTGCAGGTGACTTGATAGAACATAACAACAGATAAAATGGAATGATTCCTGGAAATCATTGTGTGAGTTGGATTGTGTCTTCCTGAAAGATATGTCTAAATCCTAATCCCCAGGGATATGATCTTGTGGAGAAATGGGGCCTTTGCAGAAGTAATCAAGCTTTACGTCAGCCTTGTCAGGAAAGAAGAGACACACAGGGAAAAAGCCTGTAAATGATTTGGAGTTTCAACTTCTAGATCCATGTTGTTGTGAACCATTGAGTGAGAACTGACTCATAGCTGAGTGTCCACTGGGGTTTTCAGAGGGGCTTCACGTGCGAAGAGATTGCCCATCTTTCTCTTACAGAGCAGCTGGTAGATTTCAACTATATGTGCTTTTGAGATGGCAATGCAGTTCAGCCACCAGAGTTCCCAGAACCCTGAGAGAATACCTTTCTGCCGTTTTAAGCTACCAGTCGGTAGTACAGAAGTCCTAAGAAACTAGGACCAGGTTAGAGATTGTCTGAATAGTCTTTCCCTATTGCTGTCCACTTGAAAGTGACTCATGGCTGACTTTCCAGCAGGTTTTTAGAGGCTGTACGTCTCATGGGAGGAGACTGCCACTTTTCTCCTGAGGACCCATTGGTGGGTTCAGACCTCCAGAGAGGTGCTGCCCTTGGGTTAGAAGTACAGCCCCCTAGGCCACTCCCTAAGGAACTAGATCCATCATTTAAAATATATATTCTGGGAAAGATTTTGTTGTTATGTGCCGTCAAGTTGCCTGCAACTCATAGCGATCCTTATGTACAACATATCTGAAGCCTGCCCTGTCCTGAGCCAGGCTCACTGACTCTCACACATCTACCCCATTGCCCTAGTTACTATATCAGTCCCTTTCATCTTCCTCTTCAGTGCTGTCCATCCACCCTTTTGGTCCCTCTTGGTCACATACCCAAAGAATGTGAGATGGAGCTTCAAAATCCTAGCCTCCAAGGAGACTCTTGGTTTCACCAAGAAGGACTTATTTGTTTTCTTGGCAGACCAAGACTCTTCTCCAGCACAGCAACTCAAACGCATCAATTCTTCTTCTATCCTCCTTAGTCATTACCAAGCTTTCTGATGTATAAAAAGTAATTGCAAAGACCATGGATGGGATCAGGCGCACTGTAGTCTCTAGTTTTAGGGACGCTAAAAATCTGAATTTGTTGGTTTAAAAAATAGATAAAATTATCAACTAACTCTTTTAAATTTGTGTGTGTGTGTGTGTGTGTGTGTGTGTGTACCCCATCAAGGATCTGACAGGTACTGGAGGAGATTGTCCCTCCTTCTCCAGCAGGGCGTCTGGTGGATTAGAACTGCGCACCTTTGGGATTGCAGTGCAGCTTCCTGCCACTAGGCTACCAGAGCTCCTCAACTATTTTTAAAAGGTTTTGAAACACTGTTTGATCTAACACTCCAATTTAAAAAAATGTAATTAGAACACAAATAGGTTAAGTTCAACAGGTGGACGTGTTTTACTACTGGGTAGAAGCTAACTTGCATCTCACTGCTCATGTTAATTACTTTGTTGTTGTGTACCATAGAGTCAGAACCGACCCATAGCTGATCCTCGGTTGGGTTTTCAGAGGCCGTTAATTGCACTGGAGAAGACTGCCCATCATCCTTCTCCCCGGAGCAGCTGCTGGTCTCAAACGGCATGCCTTCTAGATTGCAGCTCAGCTTCTTGCCACTAGGGCACCAATTATATGTCCAATTATATGACTTTGGTCTTCTCTCCCCAGGGGTCTTGAGTCAGGCAGGCTTTTCCTGGGATGAGGGGGCAGCAGCACATATCCACACGCCCACACACACCATGAAGCTCTCCCAAGCTCCTTAGTCTGGTTTAATTACCCAGAAAAGATTCAGCCTACAGTGCAAATTTGTCTACTTCAAACACATTTCATGCAGGAAAATACATGGTACTTATTTCCACCACATGACAAGCTATGTGCCTAAGAGTGGTGTGGAGAGGCAGCAAGTGGCCACTGCCCCTTCTTAGTTCCCCAAAGTTTATGAACCTTCAGGACAAGTCTAAGGGAGAAGGCCTGGAGTTGGTTTGCAACACTATCAATAACTCACCTGCTTTATTTTGGAGAAAGATGGTCTGAGTCTGGCATCCCTTGACAGGCCTGCTCAGCTCGGCTTGTGCAAGAGAGGTGCTGGTCTCAGAATCACCTTGGACTGTGGTATACTTTCTCATACCCCGGGGGTGAGGGTGGGGGTTTGGGACAAGAGATGTTCTTGAGCCTCAGGGGTGCTGCCAAAGGCATCTGGCTCCCTCCTGTTCTGTGCCTGGCTGCAGTCATATACCTCGCAGACATGTTCCCCATCACAGTGGGCAGCATGTGACGTTTGCCTCCAGGGTGGAGCAATGCCTGATTCCCATTGTTTCTGGGGGGCCAGCCCTGTCTGCAACTGACAGGGCACCTGCCACTCAGGGAACATGGCCACCACCACTTAGCGAGGACCCTGACTCACCTGGTGATCTTAAGAGGAGCACCCCTCTTTTGGGAGTGAGGTCTCCAGCTTAAGAGGCATACTGACAGAAGTGCCCATCCACCAGGCTGGAAGTGATCACCTGACTCTCTGTGTTTCCACAGCATCAAGATGGTTTTGATGTGGGCCAGTGGGGACACCTTCAAGACTGCCTATTTCCTGCTGAACCATGTGCCGCTGCAGTTCTCCATCTGCGGCCTGCTGCAGATGCTGGTTGATCTGGCCATCCTGATGCAGGCCTACACTTATGCCCGCTGCTCCCCAAAGCCAGCGCCCCACCCTGCCCACCCAAGCAGTGCTAAGGCCCTCTAAGCTGGTGGGAGAGTCAGAACACCCACGGGAAGACATGCTGGGTCGCAAGGCTCCCATAGAGGGTGAGAGGGGCCAGGAAAGTTTGGGGAGGCCCAGGTTCAGGGCTAATGGGTGGCAGGTAGGGTTGGAGGCCGGGGGGTGGAGTGGGCAGGTGTGCACTTTTGAGCATCTGTGTACAGGTGGCTATTACCGCCCAAGGTAGGGTTCTCTTGTCTTGGGTGACTACAGAAGGAAGGCTTTCCCTGTGCACTCTCAACTTGCCTGAACCCAAAAAGTATTCATACCACTTGAGGGTGAGCATGGGGCCACAGCAGCCACAAGGTCCTGCATGGGCCTGTACCCTGGACACCCCATGTGGCAAATGTGCCACACTGCTCTCAGGGAGGGTGAGGTGGCTAAGAGCAGTTGGGCTGGCGGTGTGTGGTGGGAGGGTGGGGTGCATGAGGGCAGGGCCCCACCCCTCCCACAGGAATCCCTCCTACCTCAGACACTCTTGGCCTAAAGTGACCTTACAGACTGGCTAATCATCATGTGCCCTGTCTTGGCGGGGCATCTCCAGTGTTTCCCAGGCTGTGAGATATGTCCCCACCCCCAGGCCTGCCTATGTTCCGGGCGCTATCCATGGCCAAGTCCGTCTACTGGGCAGAGGGGTGGTCTGCTGAAGGGACAGTGTCCATGCCCAGCATCACAGTTGGTTACAGTGCAGGATGCCCTAAGTGGGGCAGGCATGGGAGGTACCCAAGGCTCACTTAATGCTGGGCCTCGCAGTGTTTAAGAAATGAGGCATCTTTGTTTAACCCTTGGCAAAGCCCAACCCCAGCATAGTGACTGTGACGGCCTGGCCTGGTCTGGTTTTGGAATCTTTCAATCAGTAAATGATTCATGGATTCTTTGTGTTATGTCGTTTTTCCCTATGTGGGTGATGGGCCTGGTGCCATCCCTGACACCACAGTGAGGGTCAGGGTCCCTTATCTGCAGCCAGGATGGCCAGCAATGACCTTTCCAAGGTGTCCCTGCTGTCCTTGCTCTAACTAGGGTTGCCTACTCCCGGGGTCAGATCTGCAGGTGCAGGAGGTGACTTCCCTGAATGGCCTGGGCAAGGCCCCTGTAGCCAGGTTCCCACCATGCCCAAGGGTCAGCTCGCTCGAAACCCTGAAACAGGAACCCCACCAGTTCACATGCCTGGTCTCTTCCCGCCCACCAGCATCAGCTTAGTGGTGGGAGTCTCACTTACAGTCCTAGGGATGATGTTTTGTAATTTTTGCTGTGTTTCATCAAGTTGCAAACAACTCATAGTTGCCTTTCCAGCAGGTTTTCAGAGGCAATAAGCAGAATGGGAGGAGACTGCCTATCTGTCCCATGGAGACAAATTAACTAGTACCAGCAGTCAGGAAATAAGGAGATGCATTGCATTGGGAAAATCTGCAGTTAGGGACCTTCCCAAATTATTGAGGAGTAGTATTGTCAGTTTGAGGACTAAGGTGTGTCTGATTCAGGCCATAGTCTTTCCGATTACTAGCTATGCATCTGAGAGCGGGACAATGAATAAGGATGAAAGGAAAAGAATTGACGCCTTTGAGCTGTGGTGAACACAGCTAGAGCCTGCATCTGCAGAGAGGCACCTCCCATCAGGTGCATCAGTTTACCCCCTGCTTATTTCATTACTCAGTCCCACTGTCCCTGCTGGAGCTGCCTATTGGACATGGAGCCAAAGCCATCGGCCTCCAAGAGCAGCTTAACTCCACATAAACCTCGAGTCCCAGCAGACCACGCTAAGCACGTTTCTCCCATTCCATCAGGGTCACTTCTGCCCCAGAGAGCTGGGCCAAGGGCTCCCAAACAATGGGGACCAGTAGACAACAGGAAAGCTGGCATTCTTGTCCACCTGCCCACTTTCTCAGGCTAATGGACATTCAGGAGATGGACAGAGTGGACTCTAGAAGCAGGTAGATGAAGGGGAAACCGAGGCAGCATCACCAGGACCCGACCAATTCTGCATGTCCAGTTCATTCCGACACTGGCTCTGCCCTTGCCTAGGACCCAGACAGAGCTCCCCCTGGGGCGTGCAGAGAAGAATGAAGTGGGGTTTATGCCGTCCCAGGTGTAGTGAGGTGCCCTCAGCTATCTGTCATCTGACTGTGGTCCCCTTGTGGTCTTAAGACCCTGGGCCCAGAACATGTGCTCTGGGTGACAAGTCAGAAGAGAAGCAGACAGCTGAGCACAGGCAGTGGTTTTATTGAGCTACAGTGACCTGCACAGGATACTGTCCCCAGTGGGCCCTGCAAGGCTTGGTGAGACACCACATGACAGGTCCCTCTATGGAGTCTGTGGCTGCATTGTCTTAGGGGACATGATGGGCTGGCTCCTTACATGATTTGTAAGTTTAGTTTTTCCCAACTCTGAACAGGAGGGGCAGGAGGGCCCCCTCCAACTTATCTCCTCCCTGGACATGTGAGCCCTACCCCTACTCCCTGCTTCCAGAGTGGGGTGTTTCTTGCTTTTGACCTGAGCATTGGGGAGGCGGACATCTCGGAAGGATGAGGTGTTGGTGGGCCAGCTGCAGGCAGGAAGAGGTCTGAGGCTTCCAGCACTTTCAGAGGCCTGGACCAGAATGGGGAAAATCATTATCCTCCAGGGTGGGATCCACGAGGAGTTAGTCCCGGGATGAGGATCTGGGCTCCCCAAAAGGGAGCTGAAGTAAGCAGGATGTGGTGGTGACTTGGCAGGACAGGGCTTTGGCAAAGCTGAGACTGGTCAGAGACCTTTTCTCTATAGGCAGTGCCAGCAGTGAAAGGGCAGACACTGTGGAGCGAAGCTTGGAGCTGTGTGTCTGTTGCTTTCTCCACAGGCGGGGACTGCTAGCTAGCCACAGAAAGTAAAACTCTGCCAAAGGCTAGTGACACACTCAGCGTAGCTGTGCCCCACCTCGCCTCAGGCTGTCCTGGCCACACCATAATGGGTGGCTCTCTGTGAAATTGTCCCTGGAGAGCACAGCCTCGGGCCTGAGTCCTGCCATGTCATGCCCACTGCCCTACCCTGGAGTCTCCGCTGTCCATGCCCCCAATCACAAGTGCATTGTCGGGGCTGTGTGCACTGTCCTGGGTGGGCGAGCGCGTGCTGTCCTCAGGCAGAGCCTGCTCCAGGCTGGCGGCGCGCTGCTGCTGCTCCTTTAGCTCAGAGTAGGAGCGTGAGAAGGTGTGGAAGATGGAGGTGACAGGGAAAGCCAGCAGCAGGATGCCGCTGAGGATGCTACTCAGCGCCACCACCTGCCCAGGCAGGCTGCGTGGTACCATGTCACCATAGCCCACAGTGGTCATCGAGATGACGGCCCACCAGTAGCTGGCCGGCACACTGGAGAAGTCGCGGTGCGCGCCCAGCTCGCGCTCGGCCAGGTGCACCAGCGGCGCAAAGAGCGCCATTGCCACGCAGAGGAAGAGCAGCAGCAGGCCCAGCTCTCGCGCGCAGCGGCGCGCCGTCAGCCCCAGCGTGCGCAGCCCCAGCGAGTGGCGTGCCAGGCGCATCACGTAGAGCACGCGCAGCGCGCGCAGTAGCCGCAGAACGAGCCCCGCGCGCTCCAGTAGTTTGTTCCCGCCCGCTGTGCCCGTGCCCCCCGGCTCCCCACTAGCCCCGGGGCCACTGCCCGCCGCTAGGTCCACCAGCAGCGACACATAGAAGGGCAGGATGGCCAATATGTCAATGATGTTGAGCGGCGTCCGCAGGAAGGCGCACTTGCTCTCGGCCTGCACAGACCGCAGCAGGAACTCGAAGGAGAACCAGGCCACGCACACAGTCTCCAGCACGAAGAGGTTGCGGCACTTGGGGGAGCACTCGCCCTGGGGGAGAAGAAGGGGCAGAATTGGCAAGACCTGCAGCCAGTGCTTTGGATCCTGATCCGCGAGACATGGCTGCACTTCCTTCTCATCCCGCAACCAAATGGGCGGGAGAACAGAGAAGCCCAGTTGCCATAAATGACTAGAACGAGATGGACTTCTAGGCTTGGGAAGAGAGGACCTCAGCTGATATACTCCCTGCCTCTCCATAAAATTGATGAAAGTTACTTAAAAAAAAAAAAAAAATTAAAGCAACTGGAATATTCCAGTACCGCTAGGTTCAGCTCCCTGCCTTTCACGAAGGAACACAACCTTTCCTACCCTACTCACAGCTGCCGGCTACAGAGGCAAAGTCCTGGCAACAGGGGTGATTTTTGGATGCAGTGCGCTGTAAATACTGGGGTCCCTTCACCCTTGCCTCTCTGCCTGTGGGGTGGTAGTTCCACAACAGAACAAATAGATCTCAGACTACATCCTCTGGACACCCCCACCCTTGTTCGGCAGTGGCACTCACACCAGAACTGGGCCTAAAGGAAGAACTGTAAACCAGCTCCTAGTCTTTACAACCTGACTAGCAAGAGTGCATGGAGAAGGTTAAAACTAAGGCTGTTCTCCAGGACGTGGAGGCTGTGGTGAAGGGAGTTGGGGAAGAAGTTACAGCTTAACAGGATGGCTGTGTGGACCCCTGCTGGGATTTGAACTAATAACTGGCCCTGACCTTGAAACTCTGAACTGGTGCAGTTTCATTTACATGCCCCTGGACACTTGTCAGCCTACAAACAATGGAGCATAACCTATGGTATGATGGGGAAAAGGTGGACCTGCCACCCAGGGTGATGTCCCCAGAGTTGGCTCTGCCTAGGCAAAACAACCACGAAAATATATACAAATCAGGAGGTGCCAGTCCCTGGGAAACGACATGACATTTTTTAAAGTAGAGGAAAGCCCTCTCCAAGAGTGAAGAGTGAGTGCAACCGCAGGCTGGAAGGAGTGCGCAGGGTCTGGCAAGAAGTGAGTGCAGCAAGAGGTTAGAAGGCACGCACAAGACCTGGCAGTTTCCTCTGCAAGAGTGAAGAGTGAGTACAACATAGGCTGCAAGGAGCACACAGGATCTGGCAGTTTCTTCCAACTGCACAGAGAGTCATTATGAGCTGACTGTATACTGCCTAGGAACAAAACCAACACATTTTTTTGCTGTTAGTTTTTCATTCTATTTCATTCTGTTTGGAGAACTGGCCCTTCTTGATACTGTGCCCAAAGAATAGGAGGCAAAGCCTTGCCATCTTTACTTCTAAAAGAACACTCTAGCTTCACTTCTTTCAAGGCAGAAACTCATAACAAAATTTCAACTCAATTCATGTGGTTGAGTCAGAACCAGCCCTCCAGCAGGCTTCTGAGGCATGAGAGATTTCTCATCTGTACCTGTGGGCAGGTCTACACACCCTTCAGGACCAGATAGGCCCACCCCTCACGTCTACATATCCATCAAGAGCAGACCCTCCTCTTATGTCTACACATCCATAGGTCCAGATCCTCCCCTCACATCTACATATCCTTTGAGATCCTCTCCTTATGTCTACACCCCATAGGACCTGGTCCTCCCCTCACGTCTACATATTAAGACAGATCCTCTAGTCATGCCTACACCCCATATGACCTCTCACCTTGTGTACATATCCAGAGGACCAGATGGACCCTTTCCTTATGTCTGTATATCCATAGGACCAGACCCTCCCCTCAGGTCTACGTAACTACAGGACCAGACGCTCTCCTCAACTCTATAAGTCTATTAGCACCAGATCCTTCTCTCATGTCAACATTTCTAAGAGGACAGATCCTCCTCACTTTACATCTGTATGTTCATCAGGATCAGCATCCCCAGTGGGGCAGGAGAGAGCCTCTTGACTGGAAAACTCTCTCATGAATAGAAGGTACACACATTGTAGATCAAGCACAGTTTTGATCCTGACTAGATATATAGCAAGGATCCCTGGTGTTACAATGGTTAAAGCATTCAGCTGCCAATAAAAAGTCTGGAGGCTCAAATCCACCAGCCACTCCACAAACCAAAACGAGGCAACTGCTTCTGTAAAGCTTATAGCCTTGGAAATTCTATGGGGCAGTTCTCTACAGGGTCACTACAAACTGGAATCATGAAATGACAGTGAGCTTTACTAGCTCCCCAGGGGAAGAATGTCCAAAGTGGTGACTCTGTGAAAGACAAGAGCAAGAATGGGGACACTGGCTTTCCCCAAAACATCACTGCATTAATCTCAGTGGCCTAGGAATCCCAAGAGGCTCATGCTCATCTGAGCTGCCTTTGGCCCTGATCACCAACCATGCCAAGTTTCTCCATACTTTTAACAACACCATGGTAGTTTCACTTGATTCTGGAGTTACTCTCTATCCTTTTACACCATCTCTGCAGCATCAATCTTGACCAATGGCTCTGACCAACAGCCTAGGCCAATGGTCCGGACCAAGGTTGTGCTTTGCATTTTCTTTATTGAGAAGGACATCACCTTTTCAAACAGGTACATAAGAGCCCCACATCCTGTAGCATTCTCACTTTCCAGAGCAAGACTCACCAAGACCTCCCCACCGACTGAGTCCTCCCAAATGGCTTTCTCTTCTGAGTTCTGCACAGAGCTGTAACCACCGACATGTCTGAGGCAGGTAGAACCACATCCTGCAGAATTCTCAGAGTAACCCCTAGTAAGCCCTACCGTGGACCACCCACTCCCAGTGCAGTTCTTGTACGAGCAACTTGCTCTCTGAAACACTGAAGTCATCACCACATGGAAAACACTGATTGGAAGCAAAATCTGGAAGCTAGCCTTGCTCTCTATCCTGGAAACAAAGTTGTAAAAGGTGCCCAGAGATGAAGCCAAAGCAATTTCCTGAAACTTACATTTAAACTAGGGTTGAAGGCCTGACTCTTGTCAAGATGGGTTCAGGCCAGCAATCCAAGGCTATTAAGTCAGAAAGGATGGGAGGGGGCAGGCACTGGACCCACACCAACATCTGAGGGGCACTGTGGGGTGTGGCCCCACGGGGTCTTGGGACAATGATGTCCACTCATGCTCAAAGATCTCTGGCACTTCGGGTGCCAGCCTTTCTTTCTGCTCACCGACAAGCTCTGCTTGGGCTCCCTGCTGCCCAGCAGCCCCACTGACCCAGGATACTCTCTCCACTTGAGAGTCTGCTTTCCCAATCATTAGAGCTGGAGAAGGACAAAGATGGCAGTCTCAGCACTTCTGACTTGGCCAGCTTCCCACAAAGCTGCTGTGGGCACCGCCCAGCTAGGGGGGTTGGGGGACTTCTGGTCTCCGCTTACCTCATTCACAGCACCAGACTAGACCCTCAAACACCAGCGTTTCACCCTGCCGTCTAGGCTCTGGCACCCACCTGGCAGATTGAAATGCCAGAGCAACTTGACTAGGCTTCCACCAGCAGGGCAGCTCCAGGAGGCCATGCAGACTTCAAGCCTGTCCTGTGAGTGCACCTGGTCTGCTCGGTTTCATCCGAGTATTCACCAGAGTAGGTAAGGGGCCTCTCCCAGCGCAGAGTGGGTGGGCTGTAGGTCCACACTGGGCCTGTGCACCTGAGCCATGGCACTCTCCGCTGTCCCGTCCACCCTGTCCAGTGCCCCTACACACTGCTGCTGCCTGGACCTCCGTACCCACTTCCCCTGCCTCCTCGCGGGGCGCGTGCTCACCCGCTCCTCCTCTGCGCGGATGTCTGGCATGGTGCTTAGGCAGAGACCCACGGCCGTGATGGCCACGAAGGAGACAGAAATGCAGGCAAAGAGCTTGCCTGCCAGCCCCGAGCGCGGGTTCTCCACCACGTCACGCAGGAACCGCCGGCCCTGCGCCAGCCGCCCGCTGGCCCCCAGGGCGCACTCAGGGGAGGCCACGGAGGCGCGGCTCGAGCCAGCCCCACGGTCGGCCTCAGCTGCCTCCTCCTCGCGGCGCCGCAGCCTCCGCAGACAGCAGCGCTCCAGGTGCGCCTCGTCGATGCCCCAGTAGGCCAGCTCGTCGCGGAAGGCCAGCGCACACGAGTCGCGCAGGAGTCGCAGCTTGCCTGCGCGCAGCAGCGCTGCAATGATGCGAAAGGCGCAGGGGTTGCGGTCGAAGAAGAACTCGTCCCTGCCCGCGTCGTAGTCGTCGCACACGCGCAGCAGCTCGGCAGGGTCGCGGCAGGTGCGTAGGCGCTCCAGGCGCGCCAGGGGGCAGCGGGTCAGCGCGGCCCAAGGCAGGCGCAGCCGACAGCCACCAACATTGATGATGATGTGCCGAGTGCCAGTGAGGCCACCACTGAAACCACTGACGCAGGGCTGTTCTGCGGGCCCTGGCAGCAGAGCCATGACCCCATTCGCGAACCGGCCGGGGGCACAGGGGCAGTCAGGTGGCTGCAAAAGACAACAGACTGAGGTTAGAGCCTTGGCACGAGGACACATTTGGCCCCGTGTTTGTCCCAGGGTGCTGGAGAAGAGCACTAGGAGCTTCCTGCGGACTTCCTGCTACCTGGCTATTGATTTCTTCCCTACATCCACACTCAAACCTGCTGCTACTGGCTTAACCATCAACTTGCCAGCTGAGTCCTTTTTGCAGGAATCTGGCCGTAATTTACCTGAATAGTGGAACATCCAAGATGTGGGCCGCAGGATGAGCTATGACACGAAGGTTTGCAAATAGGTGCCTGGGGTGCTGCCTCAACAGCTTCTGGCCCCTAGTTCTGGGCTAGACTGGGCTTTTGCACATGAACAGAAAACCAGGCCACCTGCTCTTTGCAAAGAAATTTCAGAGAAAGAAAGGATGGCAAGGAATCAAGCAGGTTTCTACCTGTTGTACAAGAGTCACTGTGAGCCCATGGCATCTAAACAATCCAAGAAATTGTCAAGGCAAACAGGCATAAGAAACATCAGAAATGCAAAGCGAGAGTGTTGGATTTCAGTCAAGGAACCAACTTTAAAAAAACCAAACCCCAAACCCCAAAACATTATCATCAGAGCAATGTTTGCTGATCTTGTGATTTACAATGAAGCGATATAATTTTTAAAATTTATTATTTTATTACTTTTGTGTGTGTTTACCATGGAATCAGATCTGACCAGTACAGGAGGAGATTGCCCCTCCTTCTACCAGCAGTGCATCCGATGGATTAGAATTGCATACCTTTGGGATTGCAGTGCAGCTCCTTGCCACTAGGCCACCAGAGCTCCCTATGAAGTGGTATTTTAAAAGAAGCCCCATCACTTTGGAAGCAAGTTGCAATGAAGATAAACCTGCGTAGGACGATGTTTTCTTTAAAATTTGCCTGATTTGCACAGCTGATATGTTCCAAGCTCCAGTGTCTTCCAAATTTTAGGAAATGGAAGAAAAATGTGCACATTGTCAGATACATCACGCCATGGTCTATTATTTCTAAACAAATCCTATTTCTAACATTATTCTTGGAATAACAGCCACTTAAATCAAGTGCTTCCAGTCTTGCAGGCTGATTCAGGTGCCCAAGTCTTCAAAAGCAGTTTTGTCACATTCCCTATGGCATGAGGAGCATCCTGCTTCATCCACAGCCTACCTCAGTCTTCACCTAGTGGCCAAGATGCACCCAGCCATTAATTGACGCTGCCTTTTTGGGTTTGAAGTCAACCGGGCTGTTGGGACGTTCTTCTGTCAATATTTGTGAGAACTCTGTTAGACAAACACTAGGGATATTATAGTTAATGTTAGATAGATCTTGGCAGAAAGCAGAAAATACCAGAAGAATGTCTATCTGTGCTTCATTAACTATGCAAAGGTTTTTGACTGTGTGAATCATAAGAAGCTGTGGCTGATTCTGAGAAGAATGGGAATCCCAGAACATTTGATTGTGCTAATGTGAACTCTATACTTGGACCAAGAGGCAGTCGTCAGAACAGAGCAGGGAGACACTACATGGTTCAAAATCAAGAAGGGAGTCCGTCAGGGATATATTCTGTCTCTATACCTTTTCAATCTGTATGCAGAACAGATCATCCGAGACGCTGGGCTCTAAGAGGAGGAATGTGGCATCAGGATTGGTGGAAGAATCATCAACAACCTGCGTTATGTGGATCACACAATCCTGCTTGCTGAAACTGAGGAGGACCAGAAGCGCTTGCTGCAGAAGGTCAAGGACTGCAGCCTCCTATATGGATTGAAGCTCAACATCAAGAAAACAAAGATTCTCACCACTGGGGTAATTGACAGCATCAGTATGGATGGTGAAGAGATTGAGATAGTTAACAGTTTCAGTTTACTTGGCCCCGCTGTCAAGACTCTTGGTGACAGCAGCCAGAAAATTGAGATGAATTGCATTGGGAAAGTCAGCTGTGAGGGACCTCTCAAGAGTACTGAAGAGCAATGATGTCAGGCTGGAGATTAAGGTGCGCCTGATCCAGACTATCGTCTTCGAAATTATGTGCTGTGCATCAGAGAGGTGGACAGTGAATACAGATGATAGAAGGAGAATTGATGCCTTTGATCTGTGGTGGTGGAGAAGAGTGTTGAATATACCATGGACTGCTAGGAGAACAAACAGGTTTGTCCTGGAGAAGGTGAAGTCTGAATGCTCCTTGGAATCAACGATTCTGAACCTATCTATGTCTGATATACTTTGGGCATGGAGGGACTGTTGCAAGGAGGGACTGGTCCTTGGAGAGGGACATCATGTTTGGCAGAGTGGAGGGACAGCGCAGGAGAGGAAGACGTTCCGTGAGATGGATTGATTCTGTGACTGGAGTGGTGGGAATGAGTGCGTATGAGATGGCTAGATTGGCACAGGATAGAACGGCGTTTAGGGCTCCTGTACATAGGGTTGCTGTGAGTCGCAAGCGACTCGATGGCACATAACAACAAGTATGAATAAGAGGGAACAGCTCACAATTCATATGGCTCAATGCCTTTCCTCCTGTGGCCAAGACCTGTCCTGCCCATGTAGAAGCTATTCATTTTTGACCTGAGGTGGAACTTACAGGTGAGATTTGACTCTGTGAAACACAGCACAAAAGGGCCTGGCTTTTTTTTTTTAATTTTAATTTCTCCTCTTTTAAAAAAATATCATTAATTTTAATGAAAATTTACAGAGATTTTGGATTTCCATTCATTCATTGTTACACTTTTCTCCCTGCCCACCCCTTCCCCCCAGTTCGCTCTTCTCTTTGAAAGGTAAAAGAAAAATTCTTTCATTGTTATACAATCCCTCCCCCCAAGTCCACTCCACTATGTAGCCTTCATTCTGGACTCCTGTCATGACAATAATACCTAATCATATATCCCTTTTAAACAGTTCTCTCCCTCATCTCTTTCAATGCAGTATACATTATTTTTTTGAATTATTAAATTTTATTAGTTTTAATGAACATTTACAGGGATTTTGGGTTTTCATTCCTTCATTGCTGCACCATTCTCTCTACCCTCCTCCCCAGTTTGTTCTTCTTCCCCACCATCCGAATGTCTGTTTTAATTGTCCACTTGCCACAGTGCTTGTCAAAGTCAGTTCTGATTAATCTCCTTTGTCGGTGTGTCCTTTGCCATTCCCTATTCACTCCTCCCTGAGAGAGACTTCACCCTGATTCATAAGGAAAAGGGGATGGCGTATTCTCTTAGCTACTTCCTGCTGAAAAGGGATGCTGTGGGTTTCAGGATGAAGATCTTCTCTCACTACTCTAAAGGGCCCCTTTGGCAGTAGGAAACATTATTTATCCCATCTTTCTCAGTCTTCCCCCAACCCCAATGTCAGTCCCGTTTTACTATGCAGTATTTGTCCTTTTGTGACTGAGATATTTCACTCAGCATAATGTCCTCCAGGGTCACTCATTTTGAATAATATTTCATGAGTTGTTTGTTTTTCAACACAGCATAGTATTCCATTGTATGACTACACCAAAGCTTCTCTATCTATTTATTTGTTGCTTTTAGCAGGTTTGTGCCTAGAGGACCCGGGAGCATGCATTAGTGCAAACCTGGCACACCAAGAATCCCAGGGATTCTTACTGCCAACACCATGTAGATAAACATACAGAAGTATACAGTGGTGCTTCAAGGAATTAGAAAGAAAACTCACCTTTCCCCTTTGGAGGACAGGCCCATCACCAGGGCAGCTCCTGGCCTCTGTGAAAGGGGTGGAGCAGCTTTGCAATGCACACATCCAGTGCAGAACTGAGCCCAGATATAGACCACACCACACTTACCAGAAGGCCCTCATGTGTATCCAGAGAAGCAGCCACCTAATCACTGGTGGACCCTCACGTTACAGGGCGCAAGAAGAGAGATGATAAACCAGACCTCAAAGAAACACCAGAGAACCCAGCTGGCTGCAGCTGACCCATGCCTGACATCACGTCTGTCAGTCTAGTTGTGAGTCCACACCACACTGTTTCTGTTATAATTCAAATCATCCCCAGTGCTGGATTACTATTTTTGAAACCAAGAAAGGCAATCTTTATCTCCATGAAATGAAAGCAACCCTCCCAATCCTTTCAGAGCAGAGGAAGCTAATCTCAAGATGAAGGGCTTTGTGTTTGTGTGGAGGGAAAGCTCTTGGCAGACTTCTGTGGGTTGCATTGTCCACATCACCGTTCATGGCAGAACCTAGCTCTTGGGCCAAGCTTCAGAAGTTGGTGTGGATAGCTGGTCTCTGCAGCTAGTGATGCCTGCTTGTCCTGCAGTTTCTGCCCTGGCTGCTGACTCTGACCATGGCCATTTCTCCACAGCTGCAGCCCCTCTACTGTTTAGGTGACCTTGACCTTGGCTTTGCCTCTGAGCATACTCAGCACAATGGGGGATTTAAAAAACTGAATTTATTCTCTCCCAGTTCTGGAGGGCAAAAGTGCGGTTCCAGGGCACCAGCCTTGTGGATTCTGAGGCTGAGAGAAACTGTGCCATGCTCCCTCCCAATTTGTATTTCCTCTTCCCATTAAATTTCTCTCTCTCAAATGCAAATGAAAAAAAAAATTCTCTCCTCTTTTAAAGCTCAGGTGAGATAGGACCCATCGACCCTAGTGTGACCTCAGGTTAGTTGAGGGCATCTCTGTAGACCCGTGTTTCCAGGTAAGGAGTGTGCACAGGTGCAAGAGTGAGAACATCAGCATGTCTTGAGGGACTTTCTTCAATTTGTAACAGTACTGTTGTTAGATGCACTGAGTTAAGCAACGCTATGAACAACAGAACTGAACTCTGTCCTATCCTGTGCCATCCTCATCATCTCGGACATACTTGAATCCATTTGTTGCAGTCACTGTGTCAACTCCTCTGACTAGGGGAGGGGAGCCTTCTTTTCTGCTGACCCTCTGTCTTTCCAAGCATGATGTTCCTCTCCAGGGATTAGCTCCTGCCAGCAACA